GGTTCCTCAAAAAAATAAAAACGGAAGTATCATATAATCCAGCAATTCCACTTCTGGGTATTTATCAAAATGAAAACCTGCTCAAAAAAGATATAGCCTGCCACCCCAGGGGGGCTGCAGGTAGCTCGTCGGTTGTTGTTAAGTGACTTGACGGTGCGGCTCAGGTCATGATCTTGCAGTTCATGAGTTTGAGCCCCTATGTGTTGAGCTTTCTTTCGCTGACAGCAGCTCCAGGCTTTAGACCTGTTCAGATTCTGTGTCTCCCTCTCTCTCTGCCCCTCCCCTGCTCACACTCTGTCTGTCTCTCTCTCTCAAAAAAAGAAGAAACAACATTAAAAAATGCACCCCAGGGGCGCCTGGGTGGCGCAGTCGGTTAAAGTCCGACAGCCAGGAGTCACGGTGATCTTGCGGTCAGTCCGTGAGTTGAGCCCCGCATCAGGAGCTCTGGGCTGATGGTAACCAGAGCCTGGAGCTGTTTCGTTCATTCTGTGTCTCCCTCTCTCTATACTCCCCCGTTTCGTACTCTCTGTCTCTCTCTGTCCCAAAAATAAATAAACGTTGAAAAAAAAATTAAAAAAAAAATGCACCCCAAGTTCCTGCAGCGTGATGACACAATGGCAACATATGGAAACAACCTAAGCGTATGCTGATGGATGAATGGGTAAGAAAATGTGGTAAATATGTGTGCATGTATATATGTATGTGTATTTATTTATATACAAATGAATACCTATTCAGCCATAAAAAAGGATGTAATTTTGCCATTTGTGACAACATAGACCCTGAAAGTAGTATGCTAAGTGAAATAACTCAGGCAAAGAAAGACAAATACTGTATGATCTCACTTATGGAATCTTAAAAAATAAAGCAAAACAAAATACACACACACACACACACACACACACACACACGCTCAATGGATACAAAGCACAGACTGGTAGTTGCCCAAAGGGGGCAGGGATGGGCAACAGAGGTCAAAAGGTACAGATTTCCAGTTACAAAGTAAATCATGAAGATGTAATACACATAATGGTGACTATAGTTTACTGAATTGCACACTAGAAAGTTGCTAAGAAACGAAATCTTAAAAGTTTTCAACACAAGAAAAAAATTTCTAACCATGTATGGTGATCATTTCACAATCTACACAAATATCAAATCATTATGTTGTATACCTGAAGCTAATATGATACTATAGGCCAAAAAAAAATTACACACGGACATATCCTTTGTCCCAACAATCCTACACTGAGAAACTGATCTGACGGAAGTATTCTCGCAAGTGTTAAACTGAACAGGTAAAAAGTTATTCATTGCAGCATCCATAGACATCAAGAGAAAGAAGGAGCGGTTTCTACATGGAACTACCTCCAAAGATGTTAAGAAAAAAGAATATAGGACAGTCTGGACAGAATGTCTACATGAATGAAAAATATGCTGTACATTATTTACACATGTGCTTTTGGTAGAGTGTGTCTGTGAAAGAACAAATAGCAATATGTAACAGTGGTTACCTCATGGGAGAGACCTGGGTGACTTGTGGAAGAGGAAGAAGGGAGGTGTATGGTTTACTCTATACTCTGTTTGGTGTGGTGTGATTTTGTTACAGCAATGAGTACCTGAGAGGGGCCAGGAGAACATCACAGTGAGAAAGGAGATGTCTGATGGCTGTGGACAAAGAAAGGGCAGAGAACAAGTACTGGCGTTCCAGAAGGGATGTGTAGGAATAAAGAGGTGGTAGAAGAGAGAAGTAGGGAAGCGGGTGCTATAAGGGCCCAAGTAAAGATTTCACACTCTAAAAAGTATACATGAACAGGCGCACCTGTTTATAAGGAAATTTGCAGAGGCGCCTGGGTGGCTCAGTCAGTTAAGCATCCGACTTTGGCTCAGGTCATGATCTTGAGGTCCGGGAGTTCTAGCCTCGTGTCGGGCTCTGTGCTGACAGCTCAGAACCTAGAGCCTGCTTCAGATACTCTGTCTCCCTCTCTCTCTGTCCCTCACCTGCTCGTGCTCTGTCTCTCTCTCAAAAATTAAATAAACATTAAAAAAAATCATAAGGAAATTTGCAAACCACTGGCCTGGAAAGACTGCATCATGATGAAAACCTGTGAGATTTACTGAGAAGTCACCTTGCAATTGGATGGGTTCGATTATGCCTCATTCTCAGACAAGTGGGTGCCCTCCTATGGCTCTTACCTCCTTCTCTCCTTCCACAGTCCCCACCCTAGACCTCTGTATCCTCAATACAATAGCTTTTAACTCTAGCCACAAGGCTACTGCCCCCACTCTGAGGACTGCCACTCTTCCCACTTGGCCCCAAAGCCCCGTTGCAGCCATTAGGATGACAGGATACTGACAGACACAAGTCTATGTTCCAGATCACCTTCTGCTGGCCTGCATAACTAGGTATGTTGGCCACATTATCATTATTAAAAACAGTAACATAAATCCTGGAATGGGAGAAAACAGTTATAAAGGACTTAACTAAGACAACTGAATGACATTTTAGAATATAAACAATGGATTAGATAATGGTATGTTTCAATAATTAATTCCCTGATTTCGATAGCTGTATTGTGATTATGTAAGAAAATGTCATTGTTCTTAGGAAATACATACATATTCAGGGCAAAGAGGTGTGTTATTTCTATTCTCGAATGATTCAAAAAAATATACGTACATTTACTCAGAATGTTATAGCAAACAATTGGTTAAATTGGGGATATATACATACAGGATTTCCATGTACTATTTTCTGTGTTTGGAATTATATAAAAATAAACCTTAAGAAAAATTATAAGTCATTTGCTAACATTGATATTTGCTTCCTATAAGTTTACAAGCATTATCTCACCTAATCCTTTTAAAATCCCATTAAACAGGTACTATTATTGTTGTCATTTTCTAGCTATAGAGGTTACAGAAACTTTCTTCAGAGTCACACAGCTGAGAGGAGATAAAATTTGATCCTAAGTCTGTTCCATTCAGAGCCAAAGATCCTAAATGCGACCTAGGTCTATCACCCTTACTGTATAATTTTTTCCTCTTAACCTTATCACAGAAGCCACCATTTGGGTTCCAAGCATTGTTATTCATGAAAATATCATAGCACTTATTCTCTTCCCAGGCCTCAGGGCATTGGAAATTCATGACTGAAGTCAGGGCTAGAAATGAAAACTTTATTGAAACCATTACCACCAACATCAAGAACCCAGAAATCATTCTATAACCTTAGTTTTCCTTAAAACACAAAACAAACAAAAAACAACAAAACCCTAAACCTTGAAATAGTTCAGTTGCACTTGTCCATTTTATTGACAGTTCATGATGAAAAGATTTTCAAGTATATTTACCATACGTAGAACTCATGCCTAAGAGTTATCCTCCCCAGAGAGACTAAAAGCTCAACACTAAGCATCTATTCTATAGGACTTCTGTTCAAGGGACCCTGCTACAATCCAGCCAGGACAGCAGTGTCACCACAGGCCAAGGACCAGGGCATGGGCTTAGCCCCTCTGTATGGAATGGGATGGTAGGATAGACCTTGGGAAGAGATTCTTCTCATACCAATATGGGCGGAAATGTGCACTCTCTCAGTATATACACTAGCTACTGACAGTCTCTTGGGGAACTTTCTGTGTTCTCATCTGCCCTAAGGTGGTTGTGAGCCCATTATGTACAGGCCATGGTTGAATGCAATTAGCTCCTTTCCCAGTTGGGGCAGTTACATAGGCAGAATCCTAATATCTACTACATAAAACTATACAAGACCCATTTTCAAGTCATAATGAGCAAAACAAAAGAGAAAAAATAATTTGGCTATGAAGTTCCTAATTCTGAGGAACAGTAAAACCTCTAATGTTGGGCCCATTACTTCTGAATTTCCAAACACTCAGATATGTGTTCCTCACTGGTGTGAGGTTAATGACTTATATGAGATTCAGTGTTTATGATAAAATATTATACAATACTGACATAATGGGAATATAATCTTTAACTTCTTTCATTTACTTATTAGAACTCTTCTATGCTTACTTTATAACAGATAGTCCATAAAATCACTTTTTAGAATGGGTAAACATTATAGAAATTATGTAGTTATGGTATCATATTGTTCACTTATACCAACTTTGGAATAAACTGTAAATTGAAAGCAATCCTTTTACTCATTCACTCAAATTACCTGTATGCCCTGATAGTCTTTCAAATTTGTGTTATGTAACTAATGTTTTTTCTGCCATTCATCTTTGTTCATGTTTTTTGGTTTGGCCTTGTGATTCAGCTTGCTGAGGTAACTATGAGTCTTTAATCTGTGTCATCAATATATTATCTCTTCTTCTTGGCTTGTTGATTAAGATTTCAATACACATATCTTCCCTTTGTTCAATGGGCCAGAGGCAGCTTCAGAGCCCTGGGGAAGACTAAACTTCCCATAAGTGAATATCAATTAGTAACAATAACACTAGTAATAATGGTTATTGTAATAGATAATTAGTACATACTGAACATCAGTATGTGCTAATCACTGTTCTAAGCACTTTACAAGCAATATCCCATTGATTGATTCCTCACAATAACCTTATGAAGTAAGTACTACTATCACATACATTTTCTAAACGAAAAAAGCAAGGCACTGAAAAGTTAACTTTCAAGGTGAAAATAGCTAGAAAGTGGGGCACTGAACTTGACTCCAAGTGGGGCCCATACACTTAACTACTAGGATATACTGCCTCTCAATGTGGATGCACATAAGTAATAACATGGTACTACATCCCAAGAATTTGAGACAGTTTAGACTTTTGCATTAAAAGTAGTAAGTTAGTTCAATCAATGTAAACTTTTCTTTTTTTCTTTTATAAGAATAAATGAGGTTGTACTATACTTGAGGCCCAAGAAGCACAACTCCTTAGTGAAATTCAAAGGCAGGTTTGTTCTAGAAAGGATTCAGAAGGCAGGTCTGCCTTTGGGCAGGTGGAACCAAGTGGGACTGGTGCAAGTACCTGAATGCGCTGAGGTGAGGCTACCGCAGAGTCGGTGGAGATTATCTGGATGCGCGGGGAGGGGCTGGTCATCCCTGGAGATTCCGGCCGAGAGGTCTGTGTCCGTGGTACCTGTGGGCAAGAAATGGGCTGGATCACAAGGGGGCTTACAAAAATGTCCGGTGGTAGCTGAGGACCATGCCTCTTGCTTTCACTGTGGCTTTGAGTAATACACTTGAGTAGTTTTGGTATTTGGACCCAGAATGACAAAGAAACCAATAAGATACTGCCACAGGATGGCCATAAGAAAATACAATCTTAAAAGAGTTATTTCTAATGTTGAAAATGCAAAACCAACCAACCAACCCCTCCCCAAATAACCCCCCACAAAAACACAGGAATTTTCAAATCTGCTCACATAACTTTCATAAAAGAAAGTACCAAAGTAACTTTTTAGAAATGGTATTTGAATGTTTTCACTGTCCCCAAAACCAGCTGTAAAACACTCCTTTAAGATGACAGTTTCCAGAAGAAAGGCTCTCACAAACACCATAGAGGATGGCAAAAAAAACCCCAGCAGTACGCTGAAAACTTCTGGGATCAGTACTTGTGAAAGAGTCCTGGCAATATCCAGCCCTGCTGGGATGGGGCTGGGAAAAGCCCATCAGTTATACAAAGGTCTGGAATTTCGTCAACACCTACCAAAAGGCAAGTTTAAGGTTCTGAGTGGTCACCTGGGCACCTGAAGTGGGCAGATGCTTTTCCTTGAATAAAAGCACATCCTGAACCAATGCTTTACAAACTCTTCCAAAAAACAGAAGAGGGAACACTCCTCAAATTCATTCTATGACCAAAACTAGGCAAAGACATCACAAGAAAAGAAAACTACAGGCCAATATTCCTTATGAGTATAGATGTAACAATCCTGAACAAAACACTAGCAAACTGAATCCAGAGGCATATAAAAAAATCATATACCATGACTAAGTGGGATTTACCCCAAAAATGCGTGATCGGTTCACCATATTAATTAAACAATGTAATACACTATATTAACAGAGAACAAAAGCCTCATCATCTCACACAGAAAAACCATCCAACAAAATCCAAATCCAATGCCATTTCATGATAAAAACATTCAACAAACTAGAAACTAGTAAGTTCTCAATCTGATAGAGTATCTATAAAATACTCACAGCTTAACAGAACACTTATTGGTGAAAGACTGACAGCTTTCTTCCTAAGATCAGGAACTAGACAAAGATGTCTGCTTTTGCCACGTGAACTCAACACTGTACTGCAGGTTCTAGCCAGAGCAATTAGGGAAGATAAAGAAAGAAAAGCATCCAGACTTGGAAACAAAGAAGGAATACTATTTCTATTTACAGAGAATATGATCATGACATGACATGATCATAGAGAAAGTCCTAAAAAAAAAAACAAAAAACAAAAAACTATTAGAACTAGTAAATGAGTCCCAAGGTTGGAAGATACAAGATCAATATATAAAAATCAACTGTATTTCTATACAAGAGCAAGGAACAACCAGAAAATGAAATTAAGGAAGTATTCCCACCTCCAGAGCATTAAAAACAGGAATAAATACATAAAAAGAAGTGTAACACTTATACACTGAAAACTGTACACATCATTGAAAGAAATTTAAGAAGGCCTAAATAAATGTAAAGACATCTGTGTTCATGGGTCAGAAGATTAATACTGTTAAGCTCTTAATACTACTCAAACCGATCTACAGGTTCAGTATAATTGCTATCAAAACTCTAGCTGCCTTTATTGCATAAATTGACAACCTGATCCTAAAATTTTTATGAAAATCCAAGGCAATCAGAATAGCTCAAACAATCTTGAATGTTTTGGGGTGCCTGGCTGGCTCAATCAGTAGAGCATGCAACTTTCGGTCTTGGGGTTGTAAATCTGAACCCCACGTGGGTGTAGAGATTAAAGATAAAATCTGTTGAAAAAAAAAACAACCCAACAAAACAATCATTAATTGTTCTGAGCTGGAGGACTCACACTTCTTGATATCAAAACTTATCACAAAGCTACAATAACCAAAACAGTATGGCACTGGTATAAGAACAGATATTTAGACCAATAAAAATGAATAAAAAGCTCATAAATAAACCCTCACATATATGGTCAGATGATTTTTCACAAAAGTACCATGACAGCTCAATGGGGAAAAGAGAGTCTTTTCAACAAAAGGTGATGAAGCAACTGGACACAACATACCATATGAATGAAACTGGACCCCTCCCTCATACCATCCAAGCAAATATTAACTCGAGAGAGGAAGGACTCTGGAAAAAGATGGCAGAGTGGGAAGCACCAGGAATTTGTCTCCCCACCAAACCTTAACTGCACAGGTAGAATCTGACTCATGGAACTATTTTGGAACTCTGGAGTCTATTGGATATTGAAGGCTTGCAACTTCCAGGGGAAGGCTTGGACAATAAGTTGTAGTTAGTTTCTCAATTTTGGCTTCTCTTAGCAGCTGGTAGCAGCTGCCCATCTTCCATGTCTACTCTGAAGCCATGGGCACATGTTCCAGAAACAGCTTGCATACAGCTTGTGGGAGCCCAGGTGGACAAAAGGATCTTTGTCCTCCACAAATACGGGGGATGTGTGCTCCAGTCGCTGATTGCTACTTCTAATCACAGGAGTGCAGAAAAAGAAGGGACAGCCATTGTTGCTGTACTTCCCCCTATTGTTGCAAGCCCCTCTGTTTCTAGCTTGAGTGACTTCCAGGGGCCTTAAAGTCCTGGATTATTTCTCCCCACTCCTCTATTTTTCTGTTTTTCCTCTTTTGGGATCCAAACATTAAAGACAAGGACATTCAAGAGCAAATGCATATACAGGAAAAAAATAGACAGTGACTGTACACGCCTAGGGTAAGGCACAGGTCTGAGAAAAGACCTCAGAAGTCCTTAAGTTTATACGTCAGGATGATCCTTAGCACAGAGACAGCCTAAATATTAAAAAACAAAAATAAAAACAGTAACGAAAAACAGCAAATTCTAGGAAGGGGGTAGAATCAGATTCCCAGAGTTACCACATTAATAGATTCAAATATCAAGTTTTCAACAACAAAAAAATCACAAGGCATAAAAAGAAACTGGAAAGTATGGGCTATCTAAAAGAAAAAAATAAATCAACAGAAATGATTGCTGAAAAATCTCTGATGTCAGGTCTACTTGACAAAGACTTTAAAAACAACTATCTGAAAGTTACTCAAAAAACTAAAGGAAGATGGGCAGTAGCCAGAACCCAAAAGGGATTAAAAAAACAAAAACAAAAACAAAAATCCTAAAGAGAAACCAAAAATAAACTCTGAAGCTGAAAAGTAAAAGAACTGAAGTGAAAAACTCACTAGTGGGATTCAAAATCAGATTTGATCAAGCAGAATAATTAAAAACCTTGAAGACAGAACAATGGAAATTAGAGTCTGAAAAGCAAAACAAAACAACAAAAACATTGAAGACAGCTGACCAGTGTTATGGAGCCTACAGGCCATCAAGTAGACCAACATATGCACTGTGGGAGTCCATGAGGAGGAGAGAGAGAGAAAGGGGCAGAGAGAATATTTGAAGAAATAAAGCCAGAAAACTCCCCAAATCTGAAGAAAGACATGAATATAAATACCTAAGCAGTTCAATGAATTCTATATAAGAGGACCTCAAAGACACATTATAATCAAACTTTCAAAAGACAAAGACAAAGAATGCTAAAAGCAGCGAGAGAGAAGTAACTCACATACAAGGGAACAATTATGTTACTTGCGGATTTCTCACTTTTGAAAACTGTGGAGGTTGGGGCGCCTAGGTGGCTCAATCGGTTGAGCGTCCGACTTTGGCTCAGGTCATGATCTCACGGTTTGTGAGTTCGAGCCCCGTGTTGGGCTCTGTGCTGACAGCTCTGAGCCTGGAGCCTGCTTTGGATTCTGTGTCTCCCTCTCTCTCTGCCCCTCCCCCACTCATACTCGCCTCTCACTCTCTCTCTCTCTCAGAAATAAACATTAAAAAAAAAAAAAACTGTAGAGGTCAGAAGATAGTGGGCTGATATATTCCAAGTGTTCAAAGAAAAAAACTATCAACCAAGAATCTTATACCTGGAAAAACTGTCCTTCAAAAGTGAGGGAGAAATTAAGACATTTCCAGATAAACAAAAGCTGAGAGAGTTCATGATCAGTAGACCCACCCTGCAAGAAATGCTCAAGGGAGTCCTGCACAGTGAAATGAAAGGTCATTAGACACTAATCTGAAGCTACCTGGAGAAATAAAGATCTCAAGAAAGGTAAATACATGGGTAATTATAAAAGCTAGTATTATTGTAACAATGGCTTATAATGTATTTTTTGTTTCCTACATGATTTAAAAGACTAACATGTTTAAAGAAAAAAAACTGGGGCGCCTGGGTGGCTCAGTCGGTTAAGTGTCCGACTTCGGCTCAGGTCATGATCTCACGGTCCGTGAGTTTGAGCCCCGCGTCGGGCTCTGTGCTGACCGCTCAGAGCCTGGAGCCTGTTTCAGATTCTGTGTCTCCCTCTCTCTCTGATCCTCCCCTGTTCATGCTCTATCTCTCTCTGTCTCAAAAATAAACAAACGTTAAAAAAATTAAAAAAAAAAATAAAGAAAAAAAACTATTAGTGTAAAAGCTTGTATTATTGTAAGTTTGGTTAGGAACTCCAAATCTTGTTTTCTACATAATGCATTTAAAATAATTATTAGTTTATGTTTTGGAACACATAATATACAAAGATGTAATTTTGTGACATGAACCAAAAGGGATAAGAACAGAGCTCAAAGGAGGAAAGTTTTTGTATATCACTGAAGTTAAGCTGGTATAAATTCAAACTAGAGTGAATGGATGTTAAATATAATTACCATGGTAACCACAAAGAAAATAGCTATAAAATATACAAAAGGAAATGAAAAAGGATTTTAAACATCTTACTACACACAAAAAAAAATCAACTGAATACAAAAGATAGGAATGTAAGAAATGGGGAACAAAAAAAGCTTTATAAGGCATACAAAAAAACAAATAACAAAATGACATATAAGTCCCTCCTTATCGTAATTCTCTAAATGCAAATACATTAAACTTTCCAT